TTAGTGAGAAAACTGAGGCCTAGCTGTGTGGGTAACTCGCCAGGTGAGGGGCACAGCAAGGTGGGTGTGGTGATGCCACCTGCATGGAAAGCCTGCATCCAACAAGTGGTGTCTGCATGGACTCTAGCAAGTTCTCCCATGCGCTGCTTTAGTTTTCACATGTACAAGGTGGTCCACCTCGCTTTGCTGAGATTGTAAATAAGTTCATGCAGAATGTTTGACTGACATGTAGGCACTTTCCAGGTTAGTAGCAGCCTTGTCAAGTGCCCACTGGGGACAGGCACTCACCAGTTTTATAAGTAAAAAGGCTGCAACTCGACCACGTAAATAATCCAACCCTACTTCTTGTGTTAGCTCAGAATTCAGGCAATATGTGGCACTAAATCATTAATATTTAAAATAAAACAATAAAGTAAAAATATCAGAATATATTTTGCATCTTGTGAGATAACTGCTTAGAAAATACCCCAAACTGTTAAAAGTATGCCAGTGTTTTTCCAACTCAAACTCACCTTCCTTGAGATTCCCAGCCTCTATGTAAGGGGTAAGGAATAAAGGCTGTCCTGCATCTCCCCTGGGTGGCATGGATACCTGGGCCCTTCGGTATATGGACTGAAACAGCCCATCACAGGGGCCGAATGTCAGCAGGACCATGAAAATGATCACCTTCCACATGGCACCAACCATTTCTTCAGAGTCTAGGATGGAAAACAATAGCATTTCACATATTAGTCCAAAGATTAATATTTCCTAGCTCTTTCACATGCAAGAAATTCATTTATCCCCTTGAAATTTTTTTAATTGACTGGAAAGTCCCTTTGCCAAGCACCTTGAATAGGACCACGAAAAAGACAGACCCAGACCCTGCTCACTCTGATGTTGATGATGACATATTTATAATGTAACTGGAGAACAATTTATATATTTTTTAAAATGTGGCATAGAAAGTAAACTCAGTGGAAGAGAAGATAAAACCTCAAGGCAACAAGGAGTTTATAACTGATAACCAAATGAGTATTAAAGACCATTGTGCCTCTATAGCAGGGCAGAGGATTAAGAGCTCATTTCAGGTGACGTCCTTACCAAAGGTGATGAGAATAAAAGGTGGTGGCACTCAGCAAAGGAACCGCCAGTGAATGGAACAGCAACTTCAGCAAAGATGAGAAGACCTCAGTGATTCACGGAGAATTTAAAATGAGCAGTGGATTATGGTTATGTCCCCCATTTCTTACAAATCATCAGGCTTTTTATCCAAGAATAAAGAAGAAAGAAAAGAGAGAGGGGTCTCCAGTTATTTTCGGGTCCCTCCCCCATTACTACCTACAGGTAAACTCAACAATTTAGGCCCCAAAGTATATTTGCAACAAAGTTTTCTGAGATTCTTCAAATCCTATGTTTGCTGAGAGTATTTCTTGGGGCTGATCACTATAATGGCTTAAAATAGTATGGTGAGTTACTTAATTTTTTGTATATAAATGTATGTCATATTTACAATGGGCTTTTCCATGTATTTTTAGCTGATTTGAATCTCCTAATAAATCCATCAGGAAACTGACAATTCCTATCACCACCTTTAGATAAGAAAAATGACACAAGTGAGTTTCTCTGGCAAGGGTGTGAAAGCAGAGAAACTAGGATTTAACTTCAGTCTGAGGCTAGCACTATAGGATATTTTTTTTTTGTCATAGTTTTTTCCTCCACTGTATGGATTTTTTTTTCAAATACTGCATTAAAGTACTATTTATTTTGCTTACTCAGGTTTTGTTTTTCACATTCTCTCCAATTTTCCACTTGAGACCGTTGCCTCTCTTGATTGTCTCTAATCCGGACCCTGCTGAGCACATGACCATCCCTCCACTACCATTTCATCATTCTGCACTACTGCTTGCTATTTAAGCATGATCCACATTCTTAGTGCTAAATTCTAAATAAAATGCATTAAATACTCTATTCACTCAGATTACTAGATGCAAAAAGAAATATAGAATTAGGCAAATACAATACTTGCTTCTGATTGTTCAGTGCTTTAAAATGCCAAGCTATTAGGACATTTTTAAAATACAAAATATGTAACAATCTATTAACCACATGCTTATCACAAACAAGTTTGGCATATAGGAAAATATTGGTTGTAGCAAGTTTAAACAGCTTTTCAACAACATTTTCCCATCAAGACCAAAGTATATACTCATAACTTGATCGAATATATGATCCTTGTGTCTCCCAAAATTAACTTAATAGAATTCCTCACACTTAAAATACAAAATATGTAACAATCTATTAACCACATGCTTATCACAAACAAGTTTGGCATATAGGAAAATATTGGTTGTAGCAAGTTTAAACAGCTTTTCAACAACATTTTCCCATCAAGACCAAAGTATATACTCATAACTTGATCGAATATATGATCCTTGTGTCTCCCAAAATTAACTTAATAGAATTCCTCACACTCTGAGGACTATAGGATATTTTTTTTTTTTGTCATAGTTTTTTCCTCCACTGTATGGATTTTTTTTTTCAAATACTGCATTAAAGTACTATTTATTTTGCTTACTCAGGTTTTGTTTTTCACATTCTCTCCAATTTTCCACTTGAGACCGTTGCCTCTCTTGATTGTCTCTAATCCGGACCCTGCTGAGCACATGACCATCCCTCCACTACCATTTCATCATTCTGCACTACTGCTTGCTATTTAAGCATGATCCACATTCTTAGTGCTAAATTCTAAATAAAATGCATTAAATACTCTATTCACTCAGATTACTAGATGCAAAAAGAAATATAGAATTAGGCAAATACAATACTTGCTTCTGATTGTTCAGTGCTTTAAAATGCCAAGCTATTAGGACATTTTTAAAATACAAAATATGTAACAATCTATTAACCACATGCTTATCACAAACAAGTTTGGCATATAGGAAAATATTGGTTGTAGCAAGTTTAAACAGCTTTTCAACAACATTTTCCCATCAAGACCAAAGTATATACTCATAACTTGATCGAATATATGATCCTTGTGTCTCCCAAAATTAACTTAATAGAATTCCTCACACTGAATGTAAATAAGCCCAAGGAAATAAAACATGGAGCTAAAAAACGCTCTTGCCTAGTATCGACTATAATAAAGAACAGAATGAATTTCTAAAAACTGAAATTAAATTCCCAAGAAGCCCAAGGGTAATGGCCACTATGGCCCTATTAAGATATTTTTTATAATTATGTGTTACACTGATGTTTAAATAGCATAGCTACTTTCAAAGACTCCCTGATATCAATAATCCCACTGTCTAACTTAGAAAAAAAATGTGATGTTAAAAAAAATAATGGAAGAAGCTCTTCCAGGAAGAGGTCTGTCACCCTCACTCCTTGGTGGGGGAGTTGGCAAAACAAGAAACCAATCCTGCCATCTATCCTCAGCCTTCCAGCTACAACCCTTCAGAGCCCTTTAATGGAAACTATTAATATTTAAATAACCACTAGCACTTCCCTTATAAAGCAGAGGTAGACTCAAAGATGTTAAAGAATGACAGAGGTAAAACTATTCTTGTTTTAATTGACATAAATCTAATACACAAATGTTACAGTTGGGTCAGTTTAGTAGAGCTCATTAACATTTAATCAATTCCAGTCTGAGTCATGGTTTAATATGTAGGTGAATTAAAGCAAAAGCCTACTTCATTTCACAGTTCTCATTTAACAGTCAAGAGTTCCTCAACTGTACTTAGCTGTCATATCTCCTAATGAGAATGAAAGCTATTATCATGAATGGAGGAGTAGGTTTTTTTTTAACACTCTTTTATGATTTTGTTCATCATAAATTCGTCTGAATCTTTTTACTTATTAAACACTTATTAAGCACTTTCTAAACTAATAAACCCTATACTACACAGAGCCAATCTCCCATATAAAGTGAAAAAAGTCTATTAACCATACACTTCATTATATCTACTTTAATGTAAAAACATTAGTACTATTTCCAGTTAAAATATATCATACTGAAGTATTCAGGCAAAATGTTTCTCTTAATAATATTTTAAAATGGAATAAAATCTAGGTGAAATCAAATAATTTTGACAGAATCAAACTAAAGTGATCTGCTAAAATTGTCTTATAAAATCTTAAATATTATAGTTGGAAACTGTACGTCCAATGCACAATTCTAAAATATTAAACAGAGCTATTTATCTTAGTGTTCTTTGGAATAATAAACAACCAACAACTTAAACTCCCAATAATAAGATATCAGTTACTATATACAAAAAGACAAAACTGTAAAGAATAAGTAAAATGACTCTACTAAGAATGTTTTGGAAAACAGGTAAAGAAATGAAGAATATTAGATTGGCTGTGTGGTATTTTCTCCTTATTAAATACTCCTTAAGAATTTCTAAGTTTTCTATAATAATTTTATAAGAAAAAAGTAGTTTTATGATTTTTTACTTTTTCTTAAAACAAATAAAGGAATCAATAGACACTACAAAAAAAGTGTTTCTTCCTTATTCCTTATCACTACCTGGTTATGACCTTGTGTTTCCTAGGAATAGGGCTCTGTTTGCTGTTCCGGAATATATCATTCTTTCTCCTAACATTCTGTAGACATGTCCTGATGTTCTAAAGCCTCAAGACCTCAGACACTCAAAGTAAATTTTTCTTTGGTAAATTAGAAGACTCTGAATAAAGGTGAGCTGGTTTTATATTGATAATTATGATTATATTTTCATTTAATTCTACCTAGAGTGTATAACAAGTAGGCAATTGGTACTAAGCAAATACTTGTTTTAATGACAGATCTAAATAATGAACCATGCTATTTTAGACTTACAGGAGACATTAAATGCTCATGTGGCCCAAGTTCTCCATCTGACAGATTGAAAAACTAAAGCCAGATGGGTAATTGACCTGATCAAGACTGGACTATTGGTAAGTAGTAGGGCCAAGGCTCAAAGCCAGAGTTTATTTATAACTCTAAATTTAATCTGCTTTTCAATGTCCCATCTTTGGTTATTGAAATACTGACTCAATGCCTCAACAGATGATAGCAGCCTGTAATGACTCCTTTCACGGATTGTTAGACAATGCAATAAACAAACAAAAGTATCGATGAGTAAATCTTTCCAAAGAAGTTCGGATTTTAGAAACAGAACTATCAATTCTGGCTCTGCCACTGCAACTCATCAGTGGACCCTGGCAAGACAACAACTTCTGCATAGTCCTACTGGTGTGCAGAGCTGGCCCAAGGGAGCTGATGGCTAAATTTCAAGGAACACTGAGAGCCAGTTATTCAACACAACCATTGGTAAAAATTAAACTCTAAAAGCTTACTGTGGATTGATTTGTATTCTGAAGCATTAGGTGTTTAAAAATACTCACACCTCATTACTTCCTAATAATTTTAATACAGTTTACTATTATCTGAGATCTGGAGTCATGTTTTTTTGCATTGGTCTGGTGGTCTGATTTGCTTCTGTACATCTTTGTCTAACTCTGTTCAGTAATGATTTTCATAGCTTAAAATCAGCCATGATAGCAATATTTATACATCAGAAACCAGCAAACATCACAAATCAATTCTTTTTGTCTCAGAAAGCCAGCTGTTCAACACTCATGTGCACATAATGGCCTCCTGTTCATTATTTATAAAATGAGCTGGACACTATTTTCCACCGACTCACACTCCAATCCCAACTGACAAGCCAGTAGAAGGGAAAGGAAGAGAAACTCCTGCCCCAGTGTTCTCTGTGCATGGCCGCAAGAAGAACATACCAGGAACAGAAACAGAGAGTTATTAGATGGTGTGTGGTTTACCAGTGGAAAATAGACCAAAAACTCCAAATAAAGGAAAGAACTAAGAGAAGACATTTAAACCGGCTTTCTGTTCCTCCTTTACTCCTTCCACTTCTCCATTTTTGACTATAGATTACTCCGACCAAAGGAGCAATAACACTTCATGTAATAAACATGAGAGCTGCAACTAAAACAGTTACTTGGATTTCCCTCATGTAATTACCTTTTATATCCCAACTTGGTAATAATAATTAAAAAAATAAATATACCAATTCATAACACTTACTTCCATGAAATCGGTAATAAAAAGTACAACAAAGTTGTTCAGCTAGTTGAAAAAGATTCGTTTCATCTCAAGATTATTCAAGCATAACCAAAGCATTTGAATTCTGTAATAAAGGGCCATTGTGCAACCCTTAATTAAACACCAACCTAAATCCCTAATCTAGCTGTTTGCTAAAGATTTCCATGAAAGCAAATGGGGTAAACAACATTTTTGAGGGATTCACTATTCTTCTACTTTAAGACATCATTTAAATTTCTAAAATTGATACTTGAAGCATTGTTTTCCCAGAGAGGACATGTACACGACACCCAAGGTGAAGCGCAACCTGTCACTGAAGTGACACTGAGGCTTACACTCCTATCTTCTTTTCACAGCTTGCTCCTCTGGCATGAGATCCGGTGTCTAATCTCTCTAATGAATTAGCCGTCACTATCTCTTCCACCATATCCTTGGACTTGGAGGAACTGGAGACAGAGTTATGTGGCTGACAGAGAATGAGAAGAATCAGGAAAAGGAGAAAATAATATAATCTGACACTACAGTAATGAGCTTTACCATGAAATCTCACTCTGCCCAAAGGAAAATTGGAGTGGGGTAGGTAGCGAGGTGATGGAAGTAAAAGTAGACATGACATGTTCCTAAATGTTAGTCACAGTTTTGAAATAGGCAGCTCACCCTCATGATGAAAAACATCATACTGATGATGGTATGAGTAAAGAGCTACCAATTATCAAACATTTTCCTAGTCCTGTGCTAATTGCTTCATAGTTTTTATTTCTAACACTTACCAGGTAGGTTATAATCATCCCATTTTGTAAATGAGAAACTGCTGTTCAGAGGATTTAAGCTACTCACCTAATTTCACACAGATAGTAAGTTGTAGAACAAAGAACTGTGCCATTAGAGCTCAAAGTATGCCATCTCAAAATATGACTGGGGCATACTGAATACTACTGTAACTGATGGAAACAAGTAGGAGAGCACTCCTCCCTCCTCTGACTTTCCATATCTTTCTCTCCTGAGAGTGGATTATAAAACAATGCTATCTTACATCTTACCTCCCCTAAAAATAGGTTACAGGACCTTCATGCTGGGGGCAGTCCTGATCTGCACCAAAAGGGAAGCAATATCACAGGGAGAGGCCTAAAAGAGTTTGAACAGGACCTGATGACTTCCCCCATTGAATTACCGTTAGATTGCATTCTTCTGTCTTCTGATCATACTCTGCAGGACTACCCATGAAAATATAAAGTTTTCCCTAGTTCTTTGAGTCTTCATATTGAAGGCTCTTATGTCACTTATATTAAATAAATCTGCTCTGCTTTTCTCATTAGTCTTTTCATAGGGGTCTCAGCCATGAACTTTGTCATGGGTAAGAAAAAAAATTGACTTTCTCTTAATTACAGATACCAATCCTGATCAGTTTCCAATGACCACCCTATAGCCCCTCTGTTAGCATTTCCCAAAACATGCTATGCAAGCCAGGATTTGAAATTACTATACTATTTACCCACAGAATTAAATTATTCAGAATGTCTAAGAAGTTACACTGAAAGTTAAACTTTTAACTGAATATTTCACAAACCAAGAATATTTCATCAGCAAAGTTTTCTTTCTTATGCAATTTCAATATTAATTCCATGTAACACACTTTATGAATTTTATTCCTTCAACAAACAAGTTATAGAAATATCTCTACTCTCGGCTCTGTTTATGTGTCCTCAGGAAAGCATGTGGACAAACAGCTGTAGGAAACACATCTCTGAGTAGATGGGCTGGGGATGAGAAGGAATCAGATTAGACGAAAACGCAGGGATCCTGGAGTGCAAATAACCTTGTGGTAGATGGAAGTGCGATGGATTGAATAGGGAGTAGCACTTTATGCCATGGGAGAGAGGGATAGGGCCAGAGCTTGTTGTCCTATCTGTCTGCATGGGGGCTAACTGTGGAGGAACATCGTCTGCTGTACATTGTGAAATAATTGCTCTAATTGTTTTCTAGCAGGTAGAATAAGAATGGAACCAGGACACCAGTTAGGAGGCAACATATTATCCAGGAGAGGTGAAAGAGGATGGGGCCTGGGAGCAGTAGTGGAGGTGGTGAGAAACAGCTTTATTTTGAAAGCAAATATACCAGTGTTTGTTAAGTAATACACAAGAAAGATACAGTGACTGAGGAAGGGAAAGAAGAAGGAGGGATGAGAACTGTCTCAGGCCATTTTCTGATGCTATAACAAAATTTTTGAGCCTGGATAATTTATAAAGAATAGAAGTTTATTTGATGGCCCTGAAGGCTGGGATGTCCAAGAACATCTCATCGGCATCTTGTTGGCCTCTGGTGAAGTCCTTCTTCTGGCATGATAGCATGGTGGAGGGCATCACACAGAGAGACAAAGTAAGTGCGCTGGTTTAGGTCTCTTCCTTTTCTTATAGGAGCCTCACTCTCATGACCTCATTTAATCTTAATACCTCCCAAATATTTCACTTCCAAATTACCATTCACATGAATTTTTGGATTAAATTCTTAAACTTTTGAGAGAAACATTCAAGCCATAGGAAAACAATGAACAAAACAACTATTTTTTGCAGTATGATTGCATGCATTGTTATGGAGTAAATTATGTTACCCCCAAATATAGGTTGAAGTCCTAACTCCCAGTACCTCAGAATATCACCCTATTGGGAAAGAGAGTCCTTATAGATGTAATTAGTTAAATTAGAATGAGGTCATAGTGGAATTCAGTGGACTTTAATCAAATATAACTCTTGTTCTTATAGGAAGAGGAAGGAAATACAGAAAGGAAAATGTCACACAAAGATTGACACAAAGAAGAAGATAGCCATGTAACAACAGAGGGAGAGACAGGAGTGAATGGTACAAACTAATACACAATAGAACCATTACTAGAAATTTGGATGGTGTTGGAATAGAAGGGAGAAGGTACAAAACCCCTTCAAAATCTACTTTAATTGCCTGTTAATTCTCCAACAAAAAATTCTAAGTGACTAGCAAAAAAAAAAAAAAAAAAAAAAAAAA